TCTATTTATCTGACTGTATAGGAATTAGAGTTTGGAGAAATGCTCATTGTCGACTGTGATGCAACTTTTTTTCGAACGAGCATCTGACCGGTAAAAATCTGTTCTCCCTTCATCTCTCTCTGACTGATGATTCCTTATGTACCCGCTGCCTCCAGGGGGTACTCACACCAGTAGACAGAACATTACACAATGCCTAGACATTGCCTTCCTCTACAACAGGGATTTCAAACACGCGGCCCGCAGGGCTCTTGTGTGTGACCCGCCAAGTTCCCCGTGCCCCCCCTCCCCCGCCTACCCGTGGGATTGCCTCCTGACGCTGCGAGCCCCGCGCTGCTCTCTGAAGCAGCCGGCAGCACGCCCCTTTGGGCCGGGGAGGGAGGGGGAAGGAGGCAGAGGGCTCCGGCATTGCCTCCTTCCAGGCACCGCCCCCGCAGCTCCCATTGGCTGGGAACAGGGAACCACGGCCAATGGGAGCTTCGTGGGAGGTACCTGGAGGAGCGGCAAGAGCAGCACATGCACGGAACCCTGAGCCCCTCTCGCTCCCCCAGGGGCTGCAGGGACACGGTTCCAGCTGCTTCCTGGAACGAGCAGCGCGGAGCCGGGGACCAAGGCAGGCAGGGAGCCTGCCCTGGCCCCAGTGAGCGCCGCTGCCACCCCGGAGCCGCTCTAGGTAAGCGGCACCAGGCTGGAGCTCACACCCTGAACCCCTCCTGCACCCCCAACTCCCTGCCCTGAGCCCCCCGCCACATCCCACACCCCAACTCCCTGCCCTGAGCCCCCCACCACATCCCACACCCCAACTCCCTGCCCTAAGCCCCCCGCCACATCCCACACCCCAACTCCCTGCCCTGAGCTCCCTGCCACATCCCGCACCCCTCCTGCATCCCCAACTCCCTGCCCTGAGCCCCCTGGCCCTGCCGCATCCCGCACCCCTCCTGCACTCCCTGCCCTGAGCCACCTGCTGCACCCTGCACCCCGACCCCCTGCCGCACCCCTCTTGTACCCCACACACCAACTCCCTGCCCTCAGCCCCCGCGGCACCCTTTCTGCACCCCCTGGGGGCAGCGTTGGGGTGGGGACTTCAGGGAAGGGATTGGAATGGGGCAGGGAAGGGGTGGGAAGAGGTGGGGCAGGGGTGCGGCCTAATTGGAAGGGGTGGAGTGGGGGCGGGGCCAGAGGCAGCGGGGGGCGTGTGTCAGTGATGCGGCCCTCGGGCCAATGCACTAGTCCTCATGCGGCCCTCGGGGTCATCTGAGTTTGAGACCCCTGCTCTACAGCATGTGGGTGCAGGTCACTTGCTGGGATTATCTGGGTGTTTCTCACTTAATCACTTCCCTGTCATTGCAGGGACCTCAGGCACCTGGTGCATCTTGGTCCCTCTTATTCTCTGCCTGTGGCACATCATAGTTTAGTCTCCTGTGGGCTGTAATACTTTGGTCTCATTTCGGTTGTTGGGGATGGTGTTGGTGGCCTGTCATGCACAAGAGGTTAAACTACATGATCTGGTGGGTCCTTCTGGCCTTGAACTCTAGGACTCTGTGACATCACTTTCTAGATAGACCGGCAGGACTTTGCTGCCAGGGATGGGCAGTCTGGTTTGGAGTGGAACCAGCCCCAAGCGGTGTAACCGAGTCAGCAAGGCACATGCGTGAGGTTCAGAAATTCCTGACGGCAATACTGACTCCCTAAGTTGCTTCACTTCTCCTGATTCTGTTTTCAGTAATCATTTAAATAAATATATGAATAATAAAACACTGTATATAAAAAACCTCATCCTTCCCAAACCCTAGACTGGCACCTCATGGCCAATTGCTACAAACAGCCGTTTCCAAGAGTCATGTACCAGGGACCCTGGGCGTGTTGGGTGGATTAAGATCGTGTAGCCACACGCCAAACCCCGTGATTGTTATCCAGATGCAGTGCAAAACTCTTCAGCGGGGACCAGCTGACTTAGAGAGGGGAGGGATCGGGATTTGCTTCAATGGCAATTCTATCACGCTAACAGAAATCTAAAGCAGTTCTTCCTTTGTTTCATTTTTTAAAACAACTCCAACACAACATCTATTTATGGGGAAAAAACAACCCAGTTGAAACAAGAGAGAGACCAAACGGAGGGAAAGCCTCATTCGTATTCTGCTTCTTTTTAATCTCCATCGCCGGAGCTGATCTCTGGAAATCGGCTAAGATTCCTATCGGGATATATTTGCCTGCTCTTGAGATGTAAGAGGGAAAGCTGATTAACATCAAACAACACACAAGTGAATGGAAGAGAGCTTTGTTCAGGCTGATGCATAATTACTACCGCGTCTCACTGGCTGCTTTATATCCACCAGCCTTAAAGGATTGGAGGGATTTCCTTGGTGAAAAGGATTGCTCTGTCTCTCTAGGTCTATATTTTTCTCTCCCTTGCCGTGTTTCTCCAAGTGAGATCTGGACCCCATGACGCTAGGTGTGGACGAGCACGTACTGAGACAGTCCGTGCCGTAACAGCTTACAATCTAAACAGGCAAGACAGACAAAGAGCAGGGAAACGGAAGAATTGTTATTTTATACACGTTCAATGGAGGCACAGACAGATTAAGGGACTGGGCCATGGCCACACATGGAGTTGGGGCCTGACCCTGCGCTCTCCTGAGTCCCTGTCCAAGTCCTGGATCACAAGAACATCCTTCCCCTTATCTCACACCCCTCACCTCATTAGCAAAGCAATTAATCTCTCTCTCTTTCCTATTCCCTCGCCCTCTCTTTCCCCCAGCCCCTTTTCTCTGAACATCAAAGGGTAGCTTGAGGAGTCTGGGGTGGGGTTCCCCTGGCATTCCCACTTCACTTGGGAGGCACACACAGGGAAATATCAAGTGGAAGTAGGGAGGTGGTATTAACTTTGTATACAGCACTAGAGACAACATTATTGGAGTCCTGGTTTTGGTTCCCACACTTCAAAAAGGGTGAAGACCAATTGGAAAAGGTTCAGAAAAGAGCTACCAATTTGAGGTCTGGAAAACTGGAAAACCTGCTTTCTAGTGGAGAGACATAAGAAGTTGAGTCTACTTAGTTTATCCAAGAGAAGGTCAAGGGGGGAACTTAGTCCTGGTCTGCAAGTACCTACACAGGGAAGAGGTTTCTGATAGTTGACAGCTCTTTAGTCTAACAGAAAAAGGCAGAACAAGATCCAAGGGGTGGAAGTTGAAGCTAGACAAATTCAGGCTACAAATAGGCACAATTTTTTTAACAGAGTATAATTAGCCATTGAAACAACTTACCCAGGGACATTCTCCATCAGTTGAAGTCTTTACATCAAGACTGGAAAAAAGAGATACTCTGACTCATGTCATGGGCTTGATGCAGGAACTGTGGCTCGGATTTTCCCTGGCCTGTGTTTTGGAGGCAGTCAGGTTGGATGAGGCCTTACAGGCTATGAATTTTAGACTGATGTGGGGGAGTTCTGTAGTTTGCTGGGAGGGAAAAGTCTGGCTTTCCTTTTGAGACGCTATGATAGATCTTTACGCTGAGTTTCTGCCATGCAAACGTTGGTGCTAAACGCCTCAGCAGAGTAAATGGGAAGTGACTTTTCATGTGGAATACCTTTAAGACTGGATGTGAAGGATGCTCCTGGGAGGAAGGGGTCACAATACTGAGATGCTGTGTGAACCGGCTCTACCACAGGATGGCTTTTGTAGAAGCTAGGGATGGAAAAGACCTGCTAGCTCATCCAGTCTACCTCAACACTGGCCAACGCAGGGTCATTCTCTCTGCTTTCTCCAGCCTAAAGCAATGCGGCTTGTCCCACGTTCCTTGGGAGACTGTTCCACAGGTGAATAGGTCCTCCAGTCAGTAAGTTATACTTGCTATGCAGCCTCAGTATTCCCCACTCCATTTCATCCTGTTTATCCTAGTTAGGAGCTGATATACAATAGTCACTGTTAAAGCCAACACTTGGCCGCAGTTAACAGGACTGTGAAGCTACTGCAGTATTACACTCAGAATAGGAAATCAACTGCAGTAAGGGATATAAACCCTCATGCTTCAGGCCATAACCCAATCACTCTCAGGGGTCAGGAAGAAACTCTCCCTTGGGGTAGGTAAATCCATAACTACCTTCTGTAGGGTTTTTGGTACATTCCTCTTAAGCAACTTGTACGGGCCTGGAGGCCTGTGGTCAGAGGTCAGAGCAGTGGAGGTGGAGGGTAGGGAAGGAAGCCAGTGGAAGCTCAGAGGGAGGGGTGAAAGGCCCCCCAGAGGTTTGAGATGCCAGGGCAGTGCTGCAGTGGGTTCAGAGGCACGTAGGAAGCTGTGAACCTGGCTGTGGGGGATGGAGGGATATAGGCCTGCTCCCCGGAGTGACAGAGTAATCCCCCCTCAGCCATTTGCTGCTCGTGAACAATCTCTCCCCATCTCTCCCCAACCCCAGCGTACACAGCCACGGTGGAACACAAAAAGCATATCGCGAGCTCCGTTTGCAAGCTCATTCCGCCGTGCTGTGAGCACGGGCCGCCCCGCCGCGATCTCTTTGCAGGAACCCGAGCATTGCGGTTTGGGGCTGGCGGTTAGTGTAACCTCGGCCTTTGTGGAGTTGGTGCCCAAAGAACGCGCCCATCGGACTAGCAGCAGATGCAGAGTTCCACTGGGGCTTAGTCAGCGTACGTCATGCAGAACCAGCATCAGCGCAGCCGCTCACCCTGGTCTGGAGCTCAGATCTCACGCCCTCACTCGGCACCACAAATGCCCCCTCCGCCCCATGGTCTGTCCCTTTATTCTCTTCACACACACACGGCCCTGTATGAGTCCCAGCCAGGCCCACACACGACCTGCCAGCTCTCCCTGCACACCATGCCGCCCAAACCCTGCCTGAGGAGATGTTGGTCCAGCAAGGCTGTGTCCTTCTGGCAGCATAAATGGCAATTGTCCAACGCAGCAGCAGCCCGGCCACTGACCCTTCCGGAAGACACTTTCCCCAGCAGATCCCAGGGGCGCCTGCAGGCTCCGCTGCTCTGAGCACTCACCAGTGTCTTGTAGTCAATCTGCTGCCGGATGAGCTTGTCCTCGCTCAGCGAATAGCGGGCTTCCCCGGTGATGGAGTCAATGGGGCCCTTTTCCATCTGCTGTTTGATGGCGCAGAAGAGGGAGAACAGCGGCTCGCCAGCGCATTCCTGCACGGAGACACGAGGGAGGGAAACCGGGTAAAGTCCGATGCCGCAGATCATCAGTTCCTACCTGCCAGCTTCCCAGCACAAGCCCAGCCCTAAAGGGGGAACCGTCTCCTGCCGGGCTTTGGTACTGCACTGCTGGCACTTGGCCCAGGGTCACTCTAATCCCCACCCTCTCTGCTCCAGACAACTCTCCTCTTCTCTCCTTCCATTCCATTTCCCGTCCTCTCACCCCTTCCCCACTCATCCCCCCACTCTCCTCCGACTGCTCCTCTCTCCCCGGCACTTCCATCCATCCCCTTTGTCTTCCAATCTCATAACGCTCCTCCCTTCCCCTTCACGCCCTCCGCTCCCCTCCCTCTCCTCTCCTCTCCTCCCC